TAAAAAATGGTACTATTATGGCTTCTACTGTACAGTACATGCCTCTCGTCAATACTTGAAAAGATAAATAAATAAATAAAAATCTACTAAGTCCACTCCTCCATACGCAACATTAATTAATATGTTTTCCCAAGAATATCGAAACCCAGACCCAAATGTCGACTCCTGAGAATGACAACTAACGGCGCTCAAGAAATAAAAAGGGGCGAGAGAGGCTTCGTGTTGCCGCTCTCTTCTACGAAATGCCTGGACCTTCGGTTTCAATTGACGGTGAAACTAACGACGTGAAGGGTTTAGTTAAATCTAATACCAATAGTCCTAAAGAGTGAAGAGCTATGCAACCTATTGTCACGAGCCCATTGGCAGGGAAGATCAAATATACAGATGCAAGAAAAGTATGCCTCTACAAAGTCGAAGTGCTATGGCAAAAAGGGTTGAACTGTCCATTCCCGCATGGGTAAATGCTCCTGTTTCAAGGACTCGTCAGAAGTCGCGAAAATCGACACTCCGAGAGCGGCCTTCACCGAGGAGAGTCCTTTGGCAGCAGCGGTTGAGATTCGATCCAAGTCTTGTTTTGGAAAGCGAAGGCAATTTGGATATTCGGATTGAGTGGTAGAAACGTTCGTTCCGCATGCTTGGACAGGATAATCTCGGAAGGCGTTCAAATCAAGGGGAGTGTTGAGGCTTGCCAGCATTCCATAACAATTGCGCTGTGACCGATGAGTTTTGGTTCATTTCAATATTTAGACTGTTAGGCGATCGAAGAATGAGGTAGAATCATACTCATCAAAAAAAAAGAGCTTTTAGGCTATTTTCGATTCAAGGTCTAGACAATGCTGGATTTACAAAACCTACTCCGTAGAGTAATTCTATCTTTAGCTGAGCATGCGCAAAGTTTGCTGTATCAAAAACGTGCGGCTCAAGAAGGGAAAACCTGTCAGCTGCGGCTGGTTTCTCGGTAAGAGCAGATTCAATACAGTGGAATGAAATAATGAGATTCTTCGCTTGTGAATGACTTCTTTCACCAGATGGGGCGGTTTTTAAATCCCCAAATCAAAACATCCCTACCAATCCTGAGGAATAGAATTCCGTCTTTCTAATCACTGGTCTGTTCCATATCCTCCACACTGCGCACAACGGCCTTTCCTTTGGATTTATTAATAGATTGATGAGCCGGCTCGCTGCCCTCTCCGACATCCGAGCCATGTCCCTCCTCCCGAACTAACACCTTTGGATTAAGCCAGAAATTCAGGTCTTTCAACCGCCCATCCTCAAATATTTTGGCAAGGCTGTCTCGTCTTCGTTTCTGAACACCTTCAGCAGTTGCCGGGATGGTCTCCATAGTATATCGTAAGTAGTCCAAGAGTTGTTGGCGAGAAGTATGGAACATTAAAACAGATAGAATCTCGGACATCTGTAGATAGAAAGTAAGCGTGTTTGCCATTGAATCTGAGAAAAGAAAAGAAATAGAATAGACCTCAACGCGCAAGGGAAAAAAAGTAGAAAACCTTGAAAGGGAACTCAGCTCTTACCTTTTCTGGGAGTAAATGAAATTCCTCGTCTGCATATTTCACAAAGCGTTGAACGGCAAGGATTTTATCCCTATCTAACGAAGCTCCCGTCATCGCACATAACAGCGTTCTGATAGTGGTGATATCCTCAGGCAAAATATCCTCCACTCTCACGCCAACGGTCGAAATGGTTACGCGGCTTACTTGTCGGCTCTCAGGATCAGCATTCAGCGTCCGGCACGAGCTGACGGTAAAGTAATCTCCATTAAGCGTGGACGTTTTTCCTAGGCGAACGTCTTCCTCAGGCACAATAT